TTCCTTTCCCGACCTCCGCCCCAGTCTGCGATGGCTGTGAGGGACGTCCGGCCTTCCCAGTCCTTCTCCTGAAGGTGGCGGCCCTCACACTCTCGGCTCCTAGCTGTGGACTCGCAGTGCCAAGAGAGCTGCAAGAGCTCCAGACCTCGCGTGTGCGTTTAAGGCACAAAGAAAGGGGGAAGAGCAGAGCTCCGGCCACCTGTGCCCTCGGCAGCGGGAGAGCGAAAGCCCTCCGGAAACTCAGGCTCCCGTCACAGTCACCAACAGAGAAGAAAGAGAGGTCGCGACCGGCCTCGCGTGATCGTGGGGTCTGAAGTGGGGGGCACCGCGGTCCTGACAGATGGAGTGGGCGACGGGGAAGCGGGCTGGGGAGCCAGTGGGACACCTGCCGCACACGGACACGGGGTCCAAGAAACCCACGTGTATCTGGTGGAACTTCAGACGTTGTACGAGATGTGGGCGAAGAGGAAGAAGGGAGAGAGGGAGGGGAAAGAAGGAAGGAAGAAAAGGAAAGAGGAGAAGGAAGGAAGACCCCCAGGGATGTTAGAGACACACTTTGGCTAGAGAGATCCCGCTCAAGCAAGCCACCCTCCCAGGGAGTCCGCCCTGATATCAGGCCCCTCAGCGACACATGCCTGTCCTCAGCTCCGAACCCACAGGCTCTCCAGAACCCCCGTGTTTGTGAACAGCTGTTTCCTGGCAGCAGGGCCGCGGTGGGGGGCCCGGGGTGGGCTCTATTTTAAGTGCAAGACCAACGGGGTATGCCAGGGGCAGCTACAGCTGATGAAATCCGGGAAGAACTGAAAGAAATATTACGAGGGGAGGAAAAAAGGAACAACCAAAAAATACTCCAGACGCCCCGTGTCCACCGAGGCAGCTTTGAATTGGAATCTCTTTGCCCATCCAGGTCCACTGACCCGGAGAAACGCCCGCCACCCGGTCCGGCAGGTCACGGAGCCACCGTGTCGCACGTGAATGCACTCGCGCTCTCGCTACGCCCGGGAGAGCACCGTTCTCCGGAATCCTGGCCACCAGAAGTGTCCCGCACCGGGCGTGGTTCAGGCTTGGGAATATCCGTGTGTAGGTAACAAGGTACCTGCGGATGGGACCCAAGTCTAAACATGAAATTAATTTGTCTCACACGCATCTCACACTCAGCACAGCCTTCGCCTGGGACCCGGCACGTGAGGTCAGGTGTGGGCCTCCCCCTGGGGGCATCGAGCTGGTGCTGAGGAGGCCTCAGCTTCCGCGGCATTCAGGTTCTCACCGTCGGGGCGCTCAGTCTGTACTGGGGTTCTGAGGCTGTTAGACTGAGCGAACCCTCGGGGGCACGGCTGGCCAAATCAGGTTTCTGAGACCACAGGCCTGAGGGCCAGATCCTGGGAAACCCCCAGGTTCCACACCCGAGGGGTCTTCTGGGTGTCAGCCCCTGGCCGGCCCCAGGCAGCTGCCCTTCGCCGCCCTGAGAGTGCTGGCATAAACCATGAACCTTGGGTGCGTGTGCTCCCTGGAGGGACAGAAAGTGAGAAATCCTCTGGGGGAGGGGTGTGGCCATTCCCACTCCTCCACTCTCCTCTTAAGATTTTGGGCGTGCACGCACAGTGTCAAGCCTCCGGGTGCAGGACTCAAACCACGGTCGGCCATGTGGAAGTCCAGCGCCTTAACCACTATGGCCCCAGTGCAAATCTTTCTTTAAAACCTTATGGAGGGGCCAGCAGGTGGCATGGTGTTTAAGGCTCCTACATGGTCGACCGCGGTTCAAATCCCAGACGTGGCTACCTGGTTTCTCTTTCTCACCCTGTCTCTCTCTGGTGAGTGCACATAGCCTATAGCAAGTTTAAACAACTAATAATTGGGGCCGGCAGGTGGCTTGGTGGTTAAGGTGCTGGATTTTACATGGTCGACTGCGGGTCAAGTCCTAGACCTGGGGCTTGCCTTTTCTCTCTCTGGTCAAATTGAAGAATAATATATAAAACTAAATAAATATTTCTTTAAAAAATTAAGTAATAACGATGCTAAATAAAATTAAAGAATTCTTTTAAAACACGTCTAGGACTGAACAAGGGTTAGCTATCATCATTATTAACCAGGAGACCTACATCGTGTAACTGCACTTCACACAAATGTCAAAGGACTCGAGAAACGAAATGACACAAAGTCCCCGTATTAAAAACTCACCAGCAACCCCCGTTTCAGAGCTGCGAGCTACTGCCCCAGCGCGATGGCAAACCGCCCGTTACCTGCTGCCCCAACAAAATGCTATCGCTCCCTTGTTGTAAAGGGGACAAAATGATCACTCCCCCGCAACACTGCCCCGCAGACCCTACTCTTCCTACGTCCTGCGAAGCCTAGAAAGCCGGTCTACAATCAAACCCAAAGACAGTATGTCCCTGCACGCGGTCCCGGGAACGCGTCACCTCCAGGGCGGTCGGCGGCTGTGCTGTCACTGTCCCTCACTGCACGCACACTTCGGAAACTAAACTGCACCCCCAGTGACTATGACAAGGGCTACACCAGAAACCTCACCATACAAAACAAAAAAATAGGCCGGCTGGCTCCGTGGCCTAGAGATTAAGGGAGCTATATTGCACACAACCAACCGCCCGGTTCGCATCCCGGACCCGGTGACCTGAGAAACACTAGCGTGTGAGCACGTGTGCCCAAAGCCCGGAGAGGCGAGGAGGGAGGGACAGCGGCATGGCCGCTCCCGACAGGCCAGTGCACACGCCCTCTAGCAAAAATAAATGTAGTGATTTAGAAGGGGGCCAGCCAGCCTCAGGGACCCTGCAAGCTCTCCTCAGCAGCGACCGCCCCATCTCCTCAGTGGGCACACCTGCTCATCCAGCTGGAAGGACCCAATTTTCCACGTGTAGAGGTGTGAGGTCCCCACCTAGCCCGCCTTCCAGAGAGCCTGCTGGGCTGCAACGCTCAGGGCCTGCCCTCCCAGCCCCTCTCCAATTCTGCAGAAGTGATCCGTTCAGTCTGCGATTCCATTTCTGTGGGTGTCAACGTGTTCGGACTTAGGGAATAGTACATGAACCAGAAAAATGAAGCATGTCACTCATGGGAACAAGGCCGCCGGGATAAACAGAAATACTAGGGCGCGTGCACTCGCCAGAGAGACAGAAAGCGAGAAATCGCCCCCCAGGGGGATGGCCACGCCGCAATCCCTTCTCCTCCATTTTACTCTTGGGATCTTGGGCACACACACACATGTGCCCAGCATGAGTTTAAGCCACCAGATCCGGGACTCGAACCGTGGTCTACTACATGGGAGTCCAGCGACATTGTGCCAACTGCTGGTCCCATAGTTGTCCAGTTTCCACGTCCTGTCATACTCTAGTGGACACGCCACAGTAGCTCCTGCCTTAAACACAACTGACCATTCTCTTTTCGAAACAAGCCACGGCGGCATCATAAGGTTAGAAGGCGTGGCGAAGGGTATATTAGCTGTTCGTGGCAGGTGCACGCTACTTAGAAGACCTTCTAGAAGACTCTACAATTTACTAAGGTGAATCATTCCAATCTTAGACATTCTTCATTTCAAAATCTTTGATTTTTTTCTTTCTTTTCCTTTCCTTTTCTAAGCTTTTTGCCATAGGGCACATGAGCTCTCTGGAGAGAGACAAGGAGAAGGAAAATGAGAAATTACCCTCTCGGGGGGATGACCACGCCACAATTCATTCTCCTCCATTCTCTTCCTGGGATGTGGGGCACGAACACACATATGTCCAATGTGATTTCCAAGCCGCCAGATCTGGGACTCGAACCACGGACGGCCAGGTAGGAGTCGAGCTGTAACCACTACATCACCTGCTGGTCCCCAAATCTTTGATTTCTCTAATCTACATTTCTCCTGCTACTTTCCCCTAAAGAGATTATATTAGGTCACGGGGAAAGTCATGATGTGTTTTTCTGTTTTTCTGTGCAAACAAACGCATCATTACTTTCCTGGTGGCCAACAATATAGGCGCCACCCTTGGTGTGACGGCTCCTCACCTACATGGGACTGACCCCTGGACCTTCCCTCCTCCCAGCTCGCCAGCCTCCTCTTTCCTCCGGATTCCTGCGCTCCAAAACTTTCATTCTATTTATATCATATTTAAATCAAAGACCAGACTTAGAGTCGACCAGCTTATAGGACTTGGCTGTTTCTGATTTTTAAAAAAGAAATAGTTAGCATATATTGGGTCATTGGAAAAGCCACGATGTATGTTTTCATGTGTTTCTATGCAGAAGTGTGTCATGAGGTTTTTTTTTTTTTGGCTATAGGGCATGTGTGCTCACCAGAGAGAGAGAGAGAGAGAGAGATGGAGAGAGAGCGAGAACTCACTCCCCGGGGAATGGCCATGCCGCAATCCCTTCTTCTCTGTTCTCCTCTTGGGATCTTGGGTACGCACACACATGTGCCCAGCATGGGTTCAAGCTGCCGGGTCCGGGACTCAAACCACAGCTGGCTACATGAGAGGCCAGTGACATAGCCATTACGCCAACTACTGGTCCCTGTCGTGAGTTTTTTGACGACCTAGTATCTGAACACAGTTTTTTTTTTTGGAGAGGTTTTTGCTATAGGGCGCGTGTGCTCGCCAGACAGACAGAGAGAGACATAGAGATAGAAAGCGAGAAATCACCCCCCATGGGGGATGGCCACGCCGCAATCCCTTCTCCTCCATTCTCCTCTCGGGATCTTGGGCACACATGCACACGCGCCCGGCGTGAGTTTTAAGCCACCGGGTCCGGGACGCGAACCGCGGTCGACTACGTGGGAGTCCAGTGACATAGCCATTACACTAACTGCTGGTTCCCTGAACACAGTTCTATACGTGCAGACTTTGTGAACGTTAAAAACGAGACCTATAAAATGAAAGCTTATGGAATCTTCCACATTGCGGACTATCCTTATCTCTTAGTTAAATCACACCAACAATCTACAACTGTAGTCAATAAATTATGGCTACCCACACAGCCCCCAAACAGTAAGAATGAATATAATTGCCTACCCGATCTGCCCTTGGTCAGACGTTTTCTTCTGGAGTTGCAGCGCGTGGAGGGAACTGGTGCTCTTATGGGTCACTGATTTTCTTCTGTTTAATAGGCATTGTGGCCACCACAGAGAAAAAATAACAACGACAAGTTATTACATTGGGCCATCAGAAAAGTCATAACTTCTATGTTGCTATGCAGGAGTTTCCCAATGACCCAATAGAATAATCTAAATAATATGTGAAGAGAAAGCAAGAAATGTCCCCAAATCTCATACGAAGTTTTTATGTGGTAGGGCCAGGAAGGACTTCCCAAGTGCATGGCCTCACTTTGCTGACATGGTTAATCTTTTAAGAATTGTTTTATTTAATTTTATTTATTCATTCGTTTTATTTTAATTTGACCAGAGAGAGACAGACAGAGAGAGAGAGAGTGAGAAAGCAAGTTGCCAGGTCCAGGTCTTGAACCATGCTCAGCCATGTGGGAGTGTCCAGCACTTTAATCACGATGCCACTTGCTGGTTCCTGACTCGGTTAATTTCTCCTCCTTCCCAGCCTTTGTTTTTTAAGTGCTAGGAAAGCTATCCTTTGTTACTATTTCCAAATACAAGGCTACAGATAGGAAAACAGAGGGAAATAGAAGTTTATTAAAAGATTATGGGGGGGGCCAGCAGGTGGCATGGTGGTTAAGGCGCTGGACTCCCACATGGCCAATGGCAGTTCTAGTCCTGGGCACAGTAGCTTGCCTTCTCACTTTCACGTGTGCTTGCTCTTTGTCTCACTCTGTCCCTCTCTGGTCAAATTAAAATAAAATAAATAAATAAATAAAATTACATTAAATAAATCTAAAAAAAAAACAAAACAAAGCAGGAACCGTGTTCGGCAACCACAAAACACTGAAAATTTATCAACCTTCAAATGTAATCATGCTGGTTATTTTTCTGGTTCACTTTTAATCTGATAGATACGTAAAATGTCAGTTTCTTCTTTACATAAAAATAATCATAGACTCATAAACGTTAGCAATAGAAAAAAAAAAAAACAGAGGGAGGGAGTTCAATCCCTGCTAAATCAGACGTGCGTCCTGAATGGCTTGCTTCAAAGTTACAGAAAGAATTAGAGGCGGGAACTGGGCTGCAGCATGCGTCTGTCACTACGAAGTGACCCCTCAGACTACCCGCGGCTGGCTGCGTGCACGCGTGAGGCAGCTGAATTAGACCACGCAGGTTTGAATCCTGGCCTGTCCACTGACTAGCTGCGTCATCGCTTGACTGAGTTGCTAAATCTCTCCAGGCCTCAGTGTCCTCATCTGTAAAATGAGACTGGCAAGAACTTTACCCTCCCGATAGGATTTCCATGAAAAATTAACAAGGAGCAGGGCCAGCCCTGTCGCACAGCAACACACGCACTGGGAGCCAGGTCCCACACGCCGCCTGCAGTTCGAATCCTGCCCGGCAGCCTGGAAGGCACAGGTGCAAGAGCGTGTGCCCGAAACCCTAACGGGATGGAGAAGCGGAGGGAAGAGGACTGGGGCGGGACCACGGCCACTGAGGGTGTTCTCTCTGCCAAGGGCCCGTCCCTCTCGTAACCAAAAGAGGAAAGGGGAAAGAAACCAAGAGAAAGTGCTGTTTAAGTGCAGAGACGGGGCGGTAGGCCAATGAGCCCGAGTCTGAGCCCACTCAGCTTCTGCCCATTCCCTGCATTACGAGTACCCGATGGCTTAGGTTTGCGGAGGCCACATGGTTAAGTGGGAGCTCTCCAAATGAACCGTCACACAGACTACGAGGTTTATTCAAAGAGCAGTACTTAAAATGGGTCAGTGTGAAGTTTACCCACATACTACGGAAACTGCAGACACGGTTTAGAGCCCAGGTCTGTCCACGAGCGATCCTTCAGTGAGGAGTATTTCATCACCAACCTTTACAGTTGCTGGTCCCTAGAAGTTCCCAGAAATAAAAAGCGGAGACTCTGGGGGTCAAGGTGCCATGGTGGTTAAACGCACTGGACTCCCACATGACCAACTGTGGTTCGAGTCCTGGACCCGGCAGGTAGGAGCTCACATCAGGCATGTCTGTGTCCGTGCCCAAGACCCCAAGACGACAATGGAGGAGAAAAGAGGCGTGGCCATCCCCTCTGGGGGTGATTTCTCACCTTTTTTCTCTTTGTTTCTGTCTGGTGAGCACATGTGCCCTAATGGCAAAAACCTAAAGTATTAGTAAATGACAGAGACTTTGCGAGGGTTTATTACAGTTCATAAACTGTTTCTCTTTTATTTGGATGCATGTGCTCACCAGAGAGACAGAGGAAAATAGGGAGGGAGGAAGTGAGAAAGCAGCCCCTGGTGGTGGGGGGGGGTGGGGGGCACGCTGCGATTTCAGTTTTAAGCTTTTCGCTAGCTTAGAGTAGCCTTGTCCCCGTACATTCCAGAGTAGGTTGTATAAGTGGACATTCAGAGGCGCTTTCCAAACACCACCACGTACAAGAACACGGGCAACGAAAGGGCCTCCCGTTACTGAAATGCTCAGAAAGCACGCGGCAGCGGCAGACCCATGGGCCCCGTTTCCACAAGCAGCTACCTCAGGAGGACGGGGACTGACTCTGACGCCGATGCTTCTCCGGCACTCCAGGGTCCACAGTCTCCACGCTCACACACGCACGCGTGGGTGGGTGTGACCCCGGGACTCTTGACACGCTTGTTAATTACGTTTTCATTCGCTGCAGGGTGCATGGGCTCCCTAGAGAGACGAAGTGAGAACCCACCCCCCAAGATGGATGGCCACGCCGCAGTCCCTTCTGCGCTCTCCTCTTGGGATTTGGGGCGCACACAAGCGCCCAGTGTGCTTTTCAAGCCACCAGGTCCCGACTCGAAGCACACAGTCGGTCGCGAGGGATCCAGCCACCTTAACTCCCACGCCACCGGCCGGCCCCAAAGCCAGTATTTCTCCTTAAAATCAAATCTGACTTACCTGAAAAGGCATCGTGGTGTGGGATCCCGTGCCACCGACAGCCCCCTCAGAAACAGGTCTAGCTGGGGAGAGAGACACGCGGGCCTGAAACCCGCGGCTAGCTCCCTCCGCCCCTGCTTTTTGCCTCCTTCCGGCTGCCCGGAAGCTCCCGCAGCCCAGAACGCCCTCGCAGTCCCAGGTGCTCTGAAGCAGCACCCAGATGACAGACACGTGGTGTCCCAGCTCCCAGACTCTTCTACCGACAAGCAACACCTGCGGCAGCTAAAAAGAAAACCACAGGTTGACCCACCGGGGACCAGGTTTTAATAGGTGTGAGGTGCAGCTCTGGGCGCTCCCCGCTCCCCCCAAGGTTTTTTCCCATTGGGCGCAGGCACTCTGCAAAGACGGAAAGAGAAGGTGGAAGGGAAAGGAAAAATGACCCCCAGGCCCGGTGAGATGGCCGCACTACACTCCATTCTCCTCCTGGGGCATTGGGAATACACCCCCATGGTCCAGGGCGTGAACTGCAGTGGGTCGTGTGGGAGTCCAGCACCCTGACCACTACAGCACCTGCTGCAGCCCGTGGAGTCTAATCCTAAACAAATGTTCCCACGTGATCCTTCTAGACTGGGCAAGGCTCCTACGTGGGTCAGCCCCGGTGGCTAGTCTCCCCGGGCGTTAGACCTTAGGGTATTTGAAAACACGAACAGGCCAAGTCTGGAGAAAGTAGAATTGGTAGCCTGTCTGCATCTCTCATTTAGGTTTTCCACACCGCACCCTCAAGAATTTATCAAAGGGGTGGAAGATTTGAGCAAGGCACATGCCATGAAGTAGGACACCACCAGGGGGCAGCGGAGAGTTAACAAATTACACCTGTTTTGAGTTTTGGGGCTTCAAGCTTAGGACATAAAATGGTTGCACCTACAATTTCGGATTACCCAAAAAAGGAAGGAAAAAAAGCGGCACACTTAAAACGTATAATTTTAAGAATGTTAGCATGCAAATTTCACATAGCTCTCTCTCTCTCTGGGTCTTTTATAGACAACTATGGAAAGAAAAAAAAAAGTGCTCTTGAAGCATGCACCTCAATTCAATAAGCTGCATCAGAACACGAGAGTCCAAGTAAACTGAAGTGGTCTTCCATAGCCCTCCCTGACAATTTTAAAATACCTGAGCTATTCGCCATCTTTTGATTACATTGTAACTGCATGCTCTTCAAGGCTTTCGTGGAGTCTTCAGCAGCCTGCTCCAGGGAAAGGAGATGGTAGCGTGGGCAAGCTATGCCTAGGCTTTTTCTAAACCAAGTAGAGCTGAAATGCTGCCACCGCTCT